CTAAAATCGCAATGAGAACATCTGTAAATAAGTATTGTTTATTGAACCACCTGTGTGAGTAGAGGAGTCTTTTCACCTCCTCCCATACACCTTTGATTTCCTTCTTGTGGCGACAAAGCTAATAAAGAACAAATTAGAATAAAAACGCAGTCTTTAAATCTGATGTCACAAAATGCTTTGCGAGAGCTGACAGCAGTTTTCCCTCTGTGTCTGTGTGATAACCTGAAGCATGCAGGGATGAGTTTAAAAGGGGTCATGGAGAGGACTTCACATCATTTAAAACTCATTAAAGAGCGAGCAGAGACGATGTAAGCTGGCAGCCAAGTTAACATGATATCCGCTATATTTATATCTGCATACAATCCTGTCGTTTTAACTTTTTCTTAAACAGCATTTTTTGCTTGAGTGTCAGTGAAAAGATCGCTTCATATTTAAACTTGTTGAGCAGGTGGCCCATCAAAGTGGAGATTGATAATAATATATAAATGCATGCATACATATATAAAGTATGATTCACAGCAAAAAGGGCAAGCTAACATTTTTAGATGTGAGCCAAGCAACATGAAGACTTTGTTCTCACAGGAAGGAACTCTTAAAGACCAGCATACAAAAAATAATTTCTTTTAATCGTGTTATGTTATGGAAGCACAAATGTAAAATTTTCCACCACAGTCCTCTTTTGATTCTAATTGTAGTCACAGTGAACCCTTCTGTTCGACTCTGGAAATCCCCTTTGTCACTGGCCTCAGATTTGCTGCATGTGTTTTTGTGAGTGCGAGAGGAGAGGCTGCAGCTCCACCATGAACTACAACTTTGTCATTTTTATTAATTTATTTTTTACTGCTGGCATCATCAGCCTTTTCTTTGTTGATTAATATATTTTATTCACACATGCCATCTCTGTATTACATTTAATAGTTTGCACAGTTTTGAACCCTGCAGTACCAGCTTCAACGTGCTGCTCTGCTTTCCACTAAGATCAGTCTGGTTTATCTCAGGAACCTTATGTTTCTTTTAATGTAAAAATGTACTACAGGGAACACTTGTTAATCAGTTATATCAAAAGCCACATTAACATTCCTCCGTCTCAATATACCAATGTACACACAACAATAAACTGAAAAGAGAGGTCTAATGACTTAACATTCTTTGTTGTTTGTTTAAACAAGTGTTTTTTGTCACACTTTGTCTCCACACTTATGCAGACAGCTGCCGATGAACTGTCAGATGCTCTTTTTCTCTGCAACATTTGAGGACTCTGTGTGGAGGTTTGCAGAGCAAATTGTTTCTGAACCTAATATAATCCGGCTAAAGCGTGAGGAGGAGACTCTGGATACCATCAAACAGTTCTATGTGAACTGCAAAGAGAAGGAGGACAAGTTCACGGCACTCTGCAATCTATACGGGGCCCTTACCATTGCACAGGCCATGATCTTTTGCAAGGTAAGTCAGGTGTTTTCAAAGCTGCTTAACAAAAACTATGATTTAATGGTTTTAATTTGGCACTGAAAGCACTGTAACTCGTGAGAAGGAGAGAGCTCACAAAAAGAAGGGTTTTATGTCAGTAAGTTAGTATCCTAAATTTTAATCTACGGATAAAGTGTAGCTGAAGACACCAGTACTAGTAGTAGAGTAATAGTGCATGATGAGCCCCGAGTTTATTTGGCTGCAAGACACGGTGTTTTTGTTGACAGAGGAAATATCCTTTTTTTCAGGCTGTGGTTGCTTGTAGCTCTAGGTAGGAAGCTGGAGCTTAGAAAAAGCAGACTCGTGTGACCTTTTCACTTAATAAATGATCAGTTTTAACTCACCTGGCTGAAGGAGCGATGAGCTATTAAAGCTAAGGGGTAAAAAGCAAAAAAGCCAACAGTGATCCCGGGATTCAGTCAACCTATCCCCAGGGCCAGCCAAACCTGGCACCAGGCAGGGTGTAGAAAAATGGGATGTAGAGGACCCACCTGTGCCTCTCCCTGCTTGTCCGTATTAAAAATGACCTGTTGAGTGGTGCAAATGTTGGTATATGTCAGTGAATGAGATGTAGAAAGTAAGTATGACTGTGTGAAAACTAGAGTGCTATTAAAATTGAGGGGAGAAATGTGACACAAGCACAACACTTTTGGTCAGCACTGTTCATCAACACCCCCCCCCCACCCCCCACACACACACACACACACCCACCCACCACCACACCCACCCAAAAAACCCCAAACCCTTAGTGGCTAAATTGTAAGTATGAGTGGTTATAACTTCTTTTCTTACCCTCTTTCTTTAGACCCGAAAGATGGCTGCCTGGCTGACAGAAAGTCTGACCAAAGAGGGCCATCAGGTGGCATTGCTAAGTGGTGAAATGACAGTGGAGCAGCGAGCTGCTGTCATTGAACGCTTCAGGAGCGGCAAAGAGAAAGTGCTTGTGACCACGAATGTGTGCTCAAGAGGTAAGAAGGCTATTAAGTGAGAGTTGATTGCCAATGATTGATACCAATGGTGGTAAGTGTGCACCCATTAATGTAGAGCTAGAGGTGGACACGTCTATTTTAAAGTGAGGCAGATTCGGTTTATTAAAATGTTTATTATTTAATCCATCAGTGGGGAAATTGTCTAAAACCTTTTTTTTTTTTTTTTTTTTTTTTTAAATCAGTGAGCCAGTGTAGATCACTTTAACCACTGTTGATCCCTGAAGTCCATGTCCATCAGCACTAGGGCTGTGCGATATGACCAAAATCTCATATCCCGATATAAGACATCTATCGTCCCGATAACGATATAAATCACAAAGATTTAACATTTTCTGTGAATCTCGGGCAGCTTGACTTGCGGAAAGTGTTTCCAGCTGGGCGTCGTGTACCTGGAGTCGAGTGTTTTTAAAAAAAACAGATTTATTAAAGGATGCATTTTTAGACATAAGTTGCACCGGCCGCTGTTTTCTTTGAGTATTTATTACATAGCGTGCTGCGGAGAAAAGCCTGTTCTAATGTTTGAGTCTAAGGTTTATTTTTTAGCACCTGACGGCTCTTTTTTGCTTCTCATCCATAAATACTCTGCATACTCTTTCACATGATTCAGGGTTTTTTTTTTTTTTTTAAGTCTCAACAGGATCTTGAGCTTTATTGTGAAAGGTTTATGTGGAAAATAAACAAGCGGACAAGCGAAGGTTTTACCATCGTTGTTGCTAACGACAGTGCATAAAAACAGGCGCTTGTCCGTCCGTAGTGTGGTTATATAAAATATAAGCGAAAGAGAGAACTTTAAGAAATTAATATAGTCACTACAATGACCATCAAAATGATGAAAAAATATTGCCGTAAACAGTTTATTTTGCGACACCACAAAACAAACAATAGCGTAAAATGAAACAATAGGCTTTTTTATATCGTCATCCGATATATATCGTTATATCGAACAGCCCTATCCAGCACTTACTATTTTGCTTACATGGATTGCAGGTATTGATGTGGAACAGGTGTCTTTGGTGGTGAACTTCGAACTCCCAGTTGATCTGGATGGGAATGCTGACAATGATACATACCTTCACCGCATTGGCCGTACCGGCCGTTTTGGCCGACGTGGATTTGCTGTTAATATGGTGGACAGCGAGCACAGCATGGACATTATAAAACAGATTGAGATGCATTTCGGTATGTTCCATTTTTTTTACTCGAGCTTGATACAATTGAGAGAATCCAGATCCTAATGACGCATCCTCTTTTTTTTCCTTTCACCTACAGACAGGAAAATCATCAAACTTGACACCTCCAATCTGGAGGAAATGGAGAACCTGATAAGCTGAAGTTGCAACAACCAGACATGTTGCCTAAAATGTTAATGACCCCCCTTCCCCCAAGGATTTATTGTTTGCACTTTTATTGTTTACAGATGCATGCGTGTGTTAACTGTGCCAAACAAAGTTTGCACTTTGATTTTGTTTGCCTTTGTTCACTGACGTCACCTTAAAGCATACAGGAGTGTTGGATTGCAGTGTTCTTTCATTTATTTGTGCAGTGAAATATTAATGTAGTTAGTATAGATGTTTGCATGACTTGAGTTTGATCAATTATCCTTGAGTGGCTTAAAGCATTTTAAAAGTTTAAAATGCCTGTCTTACTGTAGCGGGAGTCATAATTTCATGTGAGGATGTTGCTGAGGTTTTTTTTTTTTTTTTTTTGTGGATTTAAAAAAAAAAAAATCTTGTTAAAGCCTGCTGAGAAGATGACTTAAAGTTTAAAAAATAAGTTAATAAAAAGAGAGACAGAGGGAGAGACCTGATAGCTTTTTCCCCCTTTAACTTTACTGTGTGATTGTTTCAATAAATTTTCCAGAGTTGGCACAAATGGTATTATGAGTTTGTTGAAACACATTTGAGCATAATTTTATTTAAAATTTAAAACTGTATTTTCAGTTAAGCAGACTAATTGACTCACTTTGGTGTTGACTACCATTTCTGTGAAGTCAAACACACAAGCAATTTAAATGGATTCAAAAGTTCTCTGGTGAAAAACTCCCAAGTTCCTTGGCGTGGTTCTAATAGCTTACATTTTAATGAGTACACCTGAGTAATAAGGTTTTGATGATGCCTTCAGGAGCAGGCTGTACAATTCCAGCTTGCAAAATCTTACTGAAGCAATTAAACTAGTAAATCATTTAGTGGGATGTGAGGCACCCTGAACTCTAAATATAAACGGTATATACTGCAGACATGAATGTAAAACTTCTACCATTTTACTTTGTCATTAAACTTATTTTTTTGGAAGATGTTATACTTGCTTGCCCATGCCATGAACTGCCTGGAAAAAGGATACATTTTATTAATTTAAATTTAATCAAATGATTCAAAAGATTACTTTCCTCCATTTAATAATAAAACTTGATTATGATAAGTTAGTTTTAATGAACACTTTGGGAAAACAAATTGAAAGGAGCTATACTAAAATTTATTAAATGTAGATTGCAAAACTGAGCTTTTACATGCGTAAAGACCACCTAAATCATTTTTGAGAATCAACGTCGTTGTGAATATTTTATTTTCCAAATATATAACCCCATTTGCTCATTGAGCTTCCAGAGTTATGAAACATTTATTTATACATCCTGAAATGTATATAATCTCAAAGTACTCTGAAGAATCACAACTCCGTGCAGGTTCATGAACACAATGCAGAAAAACATCTCTTCTGCTACACAGATCCTGAGCACGAGAAGTTTAATTTTACTTGAGTAAGGTGCATATTGGACGAAGTTTGGCATTAAAAATCTTAGAGGCTACAGATTGGTGCGAAAGAAGCCTTTTAAACTTTGCACAGTGAAGTTCAGATATCCAAGTGAAGCTACAAAATGCACAGTTACAGACCTCAAAGAACACATATTACTCCTGTCCCCCCATAGTGTCAGTTTTCTGAGAGATGCACAGCACGGATCTGTTAGGAATGGCACACTGTGCCAGAGTCATACGCAGGTCTCTAAAGGTCCTGCGTGGCACCTCCATGGTCTCAATGCAAGCATCTTCATACCTGGTTCCAAACCTGGCCTCTGCACTGGCTTTCACTGTTAGCAGAGTGTGTGTGGGGTCAAAGGGCTGCTGAAACCTCCTTCCGCATGGAGCTCTTACAGCAAGAAGCAAACTGCCACTGCCAGCTTCTGCCGTTGAATCACTGGGGCTGCAGACCTTGGTCACATCATCACCATCCTTTGCTAGGTTAAGGTTGTACACGTCTTTGTGCAGGCTCACCTCTGACTGCCTTCTCTTCTCTATTGACGGAAGGACTTTGTACTTGTTTAAGGACTGTGGCGGAGCAGCAGGAGTACGCTGCAGCATGTGCAAAACTTCCTCTTGGCTCAGGTGGTTAGCTTGCAACATGACGGGCTGAGACCGGGAGCGAAGGTTTCTGTCCGGCCTGCGGAACTCAGGAGACCCCGGCTCCCTGTGGATGCTGTTCGCCTCCCCTGGATACAGTGAGCTGTCTACAGCAGGTCTGCTTCGCCCCTTAGAGGATTTTGGCCTTGTTAGATGCATCGAAGATCCGCTGCTTTGAAGATTTCCAGCTGTGTTTCGGCGTAAGTGCTTTACAAAAAAAGAGTAAAGAAAGTTTATATTGTTCTAAAGGCTATGAGCACAGCTTTTAAAAACTATCGCACTGGTTAAACGTATAAATGTACGCTTCCGTAGCCGGTCAACAAGTTAAATTAGCGTTTGTGCGCTTTACTTCCCAGTTTGGGTATTAAGTCCTTTCTCAAGCGTCAGCAACGTTGCCATGACACTCTGGTTGCCTTGACAACCTGTGGTTGGAGAGTGGGAGTCCCCTGCTGTTGGAAACATGCAACTGCAGCTTCATACATTAATGCAAACAGAAGGTGGCAAGCTTATTTTATTGTTTAGTGAGCTAAAAGCTAAAATTAGGTTTGAAAAAGTGTTCACTATAATCAAAACCAAAACTAACTGAAACAATAATGTGTTCTCACAAAACTACCTAAAATAAAATAATGTAGGAAAAATATCCTTAGCCTTAATCATCAATCAATTTTCTCTTTTCCAGACCATTCTCTGTGGTGTGGGAAAATCCCAGCAGATCAGCAGTTTCTGTAATACTCAAATCAACCCATATGGCACCAACAATCATGTCATATTCAAAGTCACTTAAATCACCTTTCATCCCCATTCTGATGCTCAGATTGAATTATAGCTGATCATCTTGTCTATATGCATAAATGCATTTAGTTGCTGCCATGTGATTGGTTGAGTAAACATTTGCATTAATGTGTAGATGAACAGGTGTACCCAACAAAGTGGCCGGTGAGTGTATTTAGTCTCATAGTAATGATATGTGTTCATTTCTGTCACCTTCAAGATGCTGTTTAAGGACAGTGAGATGGCTGCACTTACAATGACTTATTTTCTAAAATCAAAAAAAATCACATGACAAAGTTTAATTCACAAAATAAGAAACCTTAAGTACATCCTTCACGGCCAAACGGGAACATCTGTCTTTTTTCACCTGCAATGTTTATTACATGTTTGAGTGAATAATAACACAGAATACAGAACATGCTTGTTCCAAATACAATGCTATATTCTATCATAATATTTGTACATTAATCATAAATCAATTCATAATGCAAAACATTTGTTCATGTGGACATAAATAAACATTTGCATGTAACAAAAATACAAAAATACAAACAAAAATACAAATCTTCATTTAACAAGAAAAAACCTAAATCAGATGTGTAGTAAAACACTGAAGTGATATGAATTTATGGAAAACAACAATGTACAGAGTTAAACCTTTTTAATCAATGATTTACAACATGCTGTTTCCCTATTAAGTATGTTTGTCCATTTGCATTTGTAATATATCATCATCCCATATTTATGGAATATTTTGTAATATATCTAAATAGAAAGGTCATTAATAATGATTACCAGCAACAGAAGGTTCAACATTTTAACACTGGATTAAATACTGCATGGCAGCTGAAAAACTGACGTAACAGTTTACTTTATTCCATACAATTTTCATAATTGGTATACCTCACTATTATTCATTATTACTTTGTGTCATGTTTCCCCAATTAAATGTTTGGTCTTTTAAGCATTACAAAATATCATCATCATGCCAGTAAATAACTTTTCTGTTAATCCTCTTAAGATATTAAATCTCTTCAGCCTGTTTTCATATCTGAGAGCCAAACATTTGTTCACTTCTAATTAATTTGTCATTTCATTGTTTCTTCATTACTTCTTAATGCTGAAATCTCAAATCCAAAATGCAAACTTGGTTTATTTCCTTTGAATAAATGTTGTTGCAAAAACAGCAGCTTTAAACGGGAGCCCAAGACTTCAGGGACCCACTGTAGTTCCCTTCATATTTTTAAATTAATTAAAAAAAAAAAAACAAAACAATCCAGAGCAGCTAGTCCCAAACATGACCACAATGGAAAACTGTAATTTGAACATCCTCCATCCGAAAACTTCAAGCAGATCAATATTTCCTTTTATTTCATTAATTCAGATTTTCTTTTTTAAATCAAAGTAAAAAGTGTTACTGAGGTTAGAACAGTCACAATGAGATCAAATGAGAACATCAAAGAATGAGTGCAGAAATTCCAGGGTCTGTACTACTGAAGGAGTTAAACAGTAAATGATAACAGTAAATAATTTATAACAATAGATGACTGAATAAAAACAGAACGCAGCATTTAATAAATTAACGGAAATTAATGGAAAAGTTATATATAGTGGTCCTAATATGGAGCCCTGGGGAACTCCTTGAATAATAGGAGACAAGGGAGGGCAGACCAGACGAAGCGACACAATGTGTGCTTACAAGTAACTTAAAAATCAACTTACAGCATTCCCAGGTAAAGCAGTGTTGTGTAGTCCATTTATTAAGGTGGTATTGTAAACTGTATGAAAAGCCTTTTAGAATTGAAGAAAAAGACATTGTTTTGTATTGTTTGTAGTTCTTTGTATCAGTATTGTCATTTACGCTTTAATAGAAGTAGTTATTTTGCCGTGTTGTTTTCTAAATCTTGACTGTTGGGAGAGAATTGAAAATTTAAATTCTGTCTAAAAACTCTTTTAGATTTTAACTTTTATTAATTTATTGTCTGAGAGTGTTTCTCCAGCAGCTTTACTTAAAAAAAAAAAATTCTAACTAATGAAGGGATTTAAGGTAAATTCAGGATCAGTTTCTTTTTCAAATACCGTATAAAGATCTAATTGCAATTTTAAACTAAATTAAAAACCAAGTCAAAAAGTCCTTAAGGATTTAAAAAGAAATAATAAACTGATTTTTATTATTTAAGATTGGTTATTTTAGAAGAAGGATTTTATTCTGTTAAATATTATAAGAATTAAACCAACAGGATCTTATCCTACATGTTTAACCTTCCTCTGAGAGATGGCTGGGCTCATTTACTCAGAAAGATTGATGGGTGGATGGTCAAAAGTTTAAAAGGTGCAGCTTTTTAAATTATATATTTCTGTCTAAAAATGTAAAATCTTCAAAATCTGAGTTAACTACAAACAATATATTAATATTAATTAATATACTGTAAATGATTGCTGACCCTAGACTGGGAACTGTTGATTTAAAAGCAAAAGATGAGTTAATAAAAATACATTCAAAGGTCCATTACTTGGAGGAAAATGTACAGAATTTTATGTTAAAACATGTATACAGTAGTTTCAAAATTAATCTTAGTGGTATTACAGCTAATTATGACAATCCTTCACCAAGCAGCAGAAGCATCTTGTTCAGCAGCCTTTCACCAAGGACAAGTTACAAATATTTAATTATATAAAGTATGACGTGTCAGATATTAGCACTTCTTGCTTCTAAGGTAAATCAAGCATGTTATGTTGAGCATATAGGTCCTCTGTGATCTGGTACACCTCAGAGATGAGAGGTAGGGCCTCCCCCAGCTTGGCCACAACCTGCTCAGGTGGGCCAACATTCATTACTTCGAAAAAGGTTTGGCGGCCAGGAAGCACGAGGAAGGCCATGCCCGCAGCCTTACGGATCATCCACGGATGGTGCTGGGCGAGGGACTCGTTGTAGGCCTCTGCACACAGGGCAGATGTTTTACTGTCTTCTGTGCTGGTGCGCAGGCGATCCAGGAAGAGCTCCAGCCATCTCAGAGCGCGGTGGAGCCTCAGCAGAGTACGACAGCCAGACTCTGGGTGGCTTCCTTTCTTGTTCACATCCACGAGATTATTGTCCAGTTCGTATTTTACCATCGACTGCACAGTAGCATAGTGAGAAGCGTTCTCACCATTCATATAATTCACAAGGATCTGGATCTTGCTGACAGCATCCTTAGAAATGAAGCCAAAGACACTTCCCAAGCTGTTCAGAAACCTATTACAAGGAGTAAAAACACACTCAGTTAACACCTGGGTGTCCTTTTGGTCTACTATTACGGCAGTAAATTCTAAATGCCTGCAAATTATAATCGGTTCAGTTCACATGAGAAATTCCAAGAATTCACTCACAGACCAGAGCTGAAGCTCAACTCTTTCCCTTTTATGCTGTTCCTGCTGCAAAAATATTTCATACTTTTTACAATAAAAATGCAACATTTATGAAAGCCGCTGCAATTTGAATTTCAATTATAATTACAAATTCCAGTCATTTCTAAAATATTATCAAGATGCAGTTATTGTGCCTCAGCCTGTTTCGTAATGCTATTGTGTTGCCTTTGATTCCTTTACTTTCATTTTTCCTAATTGAAAAGAGTCCAAACTATACTCTCCGTCAAAACTCTCACTATACAGCTCTGGTATTTGTTTCTTTTTTCTATTGGATCTTTTAATTGCTCTTATATAAGAAAAACATGGAGCTTTTAAAGGGGAACACTCATGCTAGCATTACCAGCTTTGCAAATACTTGTCGGCCTGCTTCTGTCATCACATTTTATTGATTTTTTTTTTTTTTTTTAAAAACCAGAAAGTCCACTGAGAATAAAATCTCTTTTTCCACAGAGACCTAGCCCTAGCCAAGAAGGCACACTATTACCAGGAATATGATTCTGGAATCAGTCTGTAGGTAAAGTAGACCCTTTCATATGCTATAACCTGTTTTGGTCAGCCACCTATCTCAGCCTGTGATGACCCTTGTTTCACAGACATTTGACTGTTGTAGTTTTGCAATTGAAACTACAATATAACTTTCAATACAATCCAATTTTATTTATTTAAATCACAAAAAAAATCACCTTAAAGTGCCTAAAACTATAAGGTACAGTAATCCTACAATAATACAGAGAAATCCCAACAATCAGACAACCCCCTATGAACAAGCATTTTGGCAGCAGTGGGAAAGAACATTTCCTTGTAACAGGAAGAAACCTGTTAAAAGGGAGAACCAGGCTCAGTCAGGGGCAGCCATCTGGTGCAAGCAGTTAGGGCTGAGGGAAAGGAGACATGATACTGAGGCACAAAGTTGGAATCAGAAAACAGAATTGAACAAAAGGGGGGTTTGATTTCAGGTTATACAATTTATTTGTTTTTGAACAGAGCTTTAATGTGTTTTTCAAATCTGTGGATATCTCCTGTAATTATGAAGCTGCAAGGACTCATAAAATAATTAATTAAAAAGAAAATTTTAGCCTATCCCTATGTTCTTTGAGGGTCTGTAACCTGGAAAGTTTTCATGGCATGAAGGTAGAGCTGGGCGATATGAGATTTTTTCATATCACGATATGTTTTTTTCATTTCAGGCGATAATGATATCTATCACGATATAAGCCAAATAACTATATTTGTAAGATTTAAATGTGCCGTTGCTCACAAGTAAAATGTGAAATAATCAGCAGCTTGTTTTTATTTAAATATTTATTTCCCATAATAAGTTCAACAGGGTAGATGTACTTAAGGAACATGAGACTTTTTCAAATAAATAAAGGCAAATATTGCAAACTACACAAAAGGCAGCCGCTAAAGCGTTTAAGTTTCAAAATAGAACAAACGAAACAGACTAAATTGTCAATTCCACTTAGAAACAAAATATTAATTCTAAAAATAAATCTTAGTTTGTTTTACAGAAGAACAGACAAAACTGACTAACTTTTGTCAATATCAAATAAACTGAGAACTAAAAGGAAATTCTCAATCTCTCCTTGTAGTATAGCTGAGCTTTTCAAACAGTTTTAACAGTTACTTTAGTCTGACAAAAGCCGAATGACGAATTAGCGCTTCCAGTCAGAGACTCAGGCTACGTCCACACGTACACGGGTATTTTTGAAAACTGAGATTTTCCGTTTTCGTTTTAAAAAATAATCCCGTCCACACATAAAGGCAGAAATGAAGGAAAACGCTGCTATGAACATGCCAAAGCAGCAGGTGGCGCTAGATTCCTAACCGTGCCGAAATGTTGGCCAATCAGAAGTCTAGAAGCCTCGGTGGGAAAAAGTAAACAAAGCTGGGGCATAGAAGCAGAACCGAGTTGTATGTGTGGAGGGACAGTAACTGTGTGTATATGTAAGCATTTAAACACTGCAGAGAGTAGAATTAACAGTATTGTAGAAATTCATTTCACCGAAACAATAACGTGGCGCACAGTGTGACGCATGCTCCAGTTTATTGTATTTCCAGACTTGCTTTCGGCACAATTTACAGTGCACGCTACTCTATTTTTTGTCAGACTTGAAATAGCCGAAATACCTTCACACTACGGAACTTCTATGGCTCTTCCGTTTGACAATCTCTCCGGCATTGGAACCATCATCTTTTTTCTCTTCGGTCACGCTCGGTTGATTTTTCTAGTCGGCACACTCATTTCCTCCATTACCCGCTGGCTACTTCCCAAACAAACACACGTGCGGCTTGGCACTTGTGCTGTACGTAACAAGCCACGCGACGTGACGCTGCGGCTGTGATTGGTTCGGCTCTGCGCTACTTAATTTGGATTGGCTGACCTTTTTTTTTTTTTTCTTTGAGGACAAGAGCGTTGAGGTCTATCGCGATAGCTTAATTTCTCTATCGAGTAAAAGTTATATCGCGATACATATCGTTATCGTTCTATCGCCCAGCTCTACATGAAGGTGACACTTTTTTATTCATTAAACATACGAAAGTTAATCTTTTTTTTTTTTTTTTTTTTTTTTTTTTAAATAGATGAAGAGTCAGCTGGATCAGATATAAATCTCAAGACTTGATCTTAGCTTATAGTAAACGCTCTCTGTCCTACATTTACCTTGCTGTGATCTGCTCGCCTTACTTTACTTCTACACTGATGTAAGAACACACAGAGAATATTTGGACCACCAAACCACTTACTTTACAAGCCCACGCCATCCAGCGACGTACTGTTCTAGATAGACTTCTTTATTTTCCGACAGACACAACTTAAAAGTGTCTAGGACCTCCTGGAGGGAGAACTTCTGGTCTTCTGAGCCTGCCATGGTTTCTACCAGGAAGTGCAAATGACACAAACAGGCACGTAAAAAATGAATGAAAAAATGTATTTCGGGGCTACAAACAAACCGGAACTGTGTAAAAATGTAAGCCCTGTGGTAAACGGTCAAGAAGTGAACTCGTCACCTACAAGAAAAGTTAAAATTGAAAGGAAAATTACGCATTTCTTTTTCTCGACACCGTGAAGCGACAGATCCTGTCTGTTCTTATCCGGTTCTACTGCGCAGGCTCTAAATTGGCGACTTTATCTTCAAAATAAAAGCAAGGGAAATTTGTACCTTGATTGCTTATTAGACTTGTTGAAAGAAGTTATTATAACCCAAACCATGATCCCGCCGCACTTAAACAAATAGTTTTGTTGCATAAACGTCACTGATGTGTGAAAAATAAAAAGTGACAAACAGCATAGCCTTTGTATGCCAGAAATGAACTTTTATAAATGAATGCACCTGAAATCCCTAGGCAGTGCTGAAATTAGGTCAAAAAGAGCTCCAGACGGGTGAATTGCTACCTGAAATGTCACATGAAATGGTAGCTGGTGTGTAGGCAGTGAAGCATAATAAGTAAGCAAAGAGTAAGAAGAGGCAAGGCAGGATGAGAGGACTTTAAATATCACTGTGGCCAGTTATCCTGTGACCCCGTTTCAGTTTCCAAACCATAGCAGGTCTTATTAGCATGTTGTAAACCTCCCCTTTCATTCTTAGTGCTATCCAGACTACGTGATGCCACTTTTTCTTGGTTAATCATTTTTAGAGGTGTCATATTCCTTATGCTGAAAATCTATTCACACATCTATCAGTTCAGTATAATTAAAAGTGGAAGACATAGTATTTTTGAAGGAATATAGATAGTTGAATTTGTTTTCAAGGTTTGCTTGAAAGGAAGTATAGATTATCAAAATGAGATATGGAAATAGTCTTCAAAACCTTTCCACCTGTGTTTTCTGCAGGCTTTCGTAGCAAGGGGGTTTTATTGTGAAAGCACTGGCCGGAAGTCTTGCGTGTTAGCCCAACGCTGCTAAAAAATAAAGTCAGTGCATAATATTAGCTGCATGTTTTAAAGCTACACACAATAAACTTTCCTATATAATTCAGAAGTTATTTTCAGCTGACAGAGCCTGGACGTTTAGGTAACCTTGGTGTCATTTACCTGTGTATATAAAAAAAAAGGCTGCCCAATGAGAAAGCATGCCTGAAATAAAAGTAACGCCACTCGGTGAGTACAGATGCTAGCTAGCTAGCGCCTCAGTTCCGTCAACATTCATATTGTACATGAGCTGGAAAACTTTTAAGATCTATATAAGTATTTGCCTTGCTATGAAAAGAAACCACTTCGGGATTTGTTTGTATTTGGTGATGCTACTTAGCCTTTAAATCCTACCGCTGCGCACTTGTGTGTTTACTACCATTACTAAAGGAGTGTAATTCTGAACTTTTATCTTCTGTCCTGCCTTTCCAAGGTGCTGGACAGGATGTGGGCAGGAGCTGCATCCTCGTCTCCATCGGAGGCAAAAACATAATGCTGGACTGTGGGATGCACATGGGCTACAACGATGATGTGAGTGACATAATGCATTTGTTATAGCAAAAGCTTTTTTCTTTTTTTTTTACCCTTATTGGTTTCCTTTATCTTATTGGTAGTTATAAGCACCCTGCACATAGCATACTGACAAGAATCCCAAATCAAAACCCTACATGAGACTTTGGCAAAATAAAAGACTCTAAAGTGAAACAGAAGTGTTTCAAATATGACAGCAAAAGTTAACACCAACTAGGCTGTTTTACACTGGGAAGGTTTACAAGACTGTAGTGAGATCTGCTGACAAAAAGACAGGAGGCAGGTCTGAAGAAGTTAAGATTTTCATTAGGATTAGTCCCACACACTGACACAAACACCTATCCTAATGAGGACACTAATGATATTTCTTATTTAAAATCAACAATAACACAAAGTAAAATTGAAAATCGGCTTAAAGGGGGTCACCACAGTGATTCTACTTAAGAAGATAGAGAGAAGAGTCTGACTGCTCATCAATGCTTTCGTTACATGTTGAAGATCAGGCTCTACCTGCTGGGCCTGCGTCTGCATTCACTCAGCTTGAACATAACTTTGGGTTCTTCGTATTTTTGTGTTAGCCTGCTGTCAGCGGGATGTTTTCGACGAACCGATGATGTGTTAGCAGTATAACACAGTTGTTACTGTCTTGGACTGTCTTTAGTCCTTACCATCAAATTTTTTGCAATAAAAGGACAAAGAGGGGCCATAGGGGGTTGGTGGATCAGACGGTGGTCTGAGGTCTGACGATCCCTGGTTTCCAAAACTAGCTTGTGGTATATGGAACATCACTTTTTGGGTGGAGAAGGAGCCTGAGTTGGTGTGTGAGGATGAGAGATTCAAACTTGATATAGTTGGACTCACCTCAGCGAGTAGCTCAGGCAATGGAACCTCTTGAGTTGCCCTACAGTAGGTGAGAGCAGACAGCTTGTGTTCCCTACCTGTACGTTGAGGTTTTCCCCAATGGATGAGAGGGTTGCTTCCTTGCAGCTTTGAGTCAGGGAACGCACAGTGAATATCGTTTGTGTCTGCGCACTAAATGACAGTTCACAATACCCAGACACTGAGTGACGTGGGACTCTGTTATTCAACGCTTACATTGGCAGTAAAGGTATGACCAAGCTGGCAGAGGTGGGCTGGGCTTCTCTGTGCAAACTGCTGGTATTTCTGTACATTCTGACTTGGAATGCATTTTAAACACAGCTATTATGAAACAGTCCTTCTAAGAAAGAGACTCTCCTTTTTAACTGCACTGTTTTCTACCTTTGAAAGAAGATGATTTCCATTCAGTAACAGTCCTATAACAGATTGTTTTATCATTGCAGAGACGTTTCCCAGACTTTTCTTATATAACACAGAATGGGCGTCTGACAGATTTCTTGGACTGTTTGATCATCAGGTTTGTTGTCTTATTTGTTATGTTCTTCATATTGCACCTTTTTTTAAATAATCTCAACCATGTGTGGAACATAGTACACCTTTCTACGTTTTTCAGCCATTTCCACTTGGACCACTGTGGTGCTCTGCCCTACATGAGTGAGATGGTGGGCTATGATGGACCCATCTACATGACCCATCCCACCAAAGCCATTTGCCCCATTTTACTGGAAGATTTCCGGAAGATCACCGTTGACAAAAAGGGAGAAACCAACTTCTTCACTTCGCAGATGATCAAGGACTGCATGAAGAAAGTGATTCCTTTGAACCTGCACCAGACTGTCCAGGTGCAGTGCTGACATCATTTTTGACCACACACGCACACATGTCTAATAGTTGCTTCTGCGCCAGCTGCTTCTTCTCTTTTGATGGCAATTCAAGCTGTTTTGTGCTGGTGGCAGGTGGATGATGAGCTGGAGATCAAGGCGTACTATGCAGGCCATGTCCTGGGAGCTGCTATGGTTCACATCAAAGTGGGATCAGAGTCTGTGGTCTACACTGTGAGTGTAAACAAGTGTGCACTCTGTCACAGTAGGTGAATTTATCAAGTGCAATCTGAGAATAATTTCTTTTTATTTTAGGGTGACTATAACATGACACCGGACAGGCATTTAGGGTAAGTGAACCTACTTGTTTGAGGTTTTTCTTTTAGTTATTTAACTCTTTTAAAAAATAGATCATACATTTACAAATTTAAGACTGCCAGTGCCCATTTTGAATTTCTTAAAATCTTATTTTGAGTCGTTCCTAAAATCCTAACTCTGATCTGCGCAAAAGCCTAAGATGCAGTATTTCTTTCTTGCTTTCATTCAGTAATTTTATTCTTCTGACAATTTGCGTGTTGAGGTTGACCCTCCATTAATGGCTTGTACATCCGTTAAATTGCTTTTTTCACAAGCGATGCGAAATAAAATAACTTCTGGATCAAAAAAATGATCAGAAGTTGAAAAATAAGCTGTAATTTTGGAATCCCATGGCTTTATTTTATTAATTCTGTTTCTTTTTTAAGCTTGAATCCTTTTCTTCTTTTGACTACACCCTTTTAGGGGTCAACACAGCAACTGAAAACATAAAAACTATTAAAGAACGTGTTAGTTGTACTAAACTATTCAACTATATGGGGAGGTTTTCAGTAATAAATTTCAATATTCAATAGAGGCCGGTCTGTTTGTTCTAAACAGTGTTAAAAAAAAAATCAAAGCTGGGATCTCACTGAGCTTATTTAAAGGGTAAATGTATTATTAGAAGCAGATTTCCTTTTGCAGCAGGACTTAGCAACTGACCACAGTGCCAAAACTACTACTAAAAGGTTTGCTAATCATGACATTACTGTCCTTGATTGGCCAGCCAACTTACATGACTTGAGAAAGGAAGCTGAGAAATACCTTATTCATGCAGATGAGCTTAAGTGCCACAAGCTGATCACTTGCACAGTATGCTGCATTGATGCAGTCATTCATGGAAAGGGATCCCCAACAGAGGGGTGAGTGGGTAAATAGCCCTATTTGACCGCTGCAGGTATTAAAAGCAACCCTTAATCAAACAAGTAAAGTGAACAGAAAGTCACTTTTAAGTATTTAAGACATGAAGGTGAGTGAGACCAGAAAATATAAACAACTTTTAAACATCAAACACCCAGATGAAACGGTTTCTTGTGAGGACTGCCTTAGGAGAGACAGACTTAAGAGTCACCTCTGCTGCAGAAAATGTTCATTAGGGGCTCAGACTTCACCAATTAATAGCAGCTCAGATCAGAAGGCACATCAATGCTTCCCAAAGTTCAGTCAGCGACAGATCTCCACATAAGCTGCAGGGAGGACGCTGTGTACATACTACTGAGGGAGACTAATTAGAAGAGAAGTACTGCCTGGACTAAGAAATACAAGAAATAGGCATTAGCTGAGTCAGAATCATGACTTCGGTCGAATGGGTCCCAATGTCAGATTTTAGTTACAGGCGAGTGAGGGACACTGTTGGTGACATATTTAAAAATGGCACGGCTGCCACGGCATTTTGATTGAACTTGAAATATTATGGCTTCCTGTTTGGGACAGACTGTCCAAGATGTTTATGCTTCAGTTTTGGTCAACGAAAGTTTACTATTTTAGTCTGTTACTCAGCACTAAAGGGCATATATCTGTACCAATGTATTGCAGTCACACATACTTACTGCTCACTTGATCTATGACCTTTCTATGTTAGCTTAAAGTCT